TTCCAAGCATTGTTAGTCTCAAAGTGGGTTCTTCGTCATCGAATTACACGTCTGGTAAATGCGCAAAAGGATAAGCACAGTGAACGTAAACATGTGAGCCATTTCCCAGGACGCAGAGTAACGGTATTGCTGGTTTTTCAGAGAACTAGCTTAGTTTTACACTGCACTGTCACTATATATTCCTGCATGATCATTTAAGCATTGAGAATGCACCATTTGTGACTCCTTTATTAAAAAGTTTCCAGAGAGTCCTCATGCCTTTGGCAATTGTTACTGCTGGCAACCTGATGGGGAAAAGAAAAAAGTCTACCTACCTACCCATACCTCAGTGGGGTGAGTAGACAACATCAAACAAAAAATATTTTAAGTTTGGCCTTACCTACTTTTTTACCACACAGTGTTGAACCTCTATCTATGTGTTGCATTCATGGAAAGCATGGAAGGCTAAATAAGTTTCTACCAAACTAATGACAAAAAGTAACAAAAGTTATTAGAATCTTCAAAGTTTTCTTGGTTAAAAAAATAATGCCTGTACATCTTTTCATTTGAAACAACTTTATACAATATTAAGAGTTTGGTCTTCTTTGCTGCAGGCTACATTCAGGCTGGTACAGTGAATGTGACTATTGTATTCACAGTTATGAATATACATTTCCATGAAAATATGGGAAGAACGAACCAGGGAATTTTGCACTTCGAGTAGTTAGCCCCGTAGTAAAGTGGCGAGTAACAGTGCCAACTTGTTTCCACTTGAGGTTATCACTCATCAATGTACACTGTAAAAATGCATTAAAATCTTTAGTATTTAGCACATATTTCTGTTTATTTTACTCGTACTAAAAAAAAAAGTAGTTTTATGGTGCTTTTTTTACAGAGCTCCAAGTTGTTTCATGGTACTCCAAAAAAGGTTTTGTATAACTCATGTGTACTAGAAACAGGGGATAGAAAATATTAGTTGTTGTTTTGCAATTGCAAACATGATTTCATAAGTTTTCGGCTCTTGTTTCTGTATTTCAGATTCAGACCTAATAAAATTTATATCAGTGAAGAAAAGATGGCGGCTTGGTTCAGTCAGATTGACATCTGTGGAAGTAATAGCACCTCTCATCTGGAACAACCTGGGTATACTGATGGAAGATCAACGTCTTCTAGGATAGGTCCTCCTTTTGTCAAATCTATGATGTCTGTGGAACAGCTGAACTCAATGTAAGCTGTGTAAATCCATGTATACAATTATTCAGGGATGTAATAAGGCTTTTGTTGAAAAGGAACAAAACATCATAATGGTGACAGCTACCTAGATTATGCAACTTTGACAAAATGATAATACTTGATAATTGTAAGTAAACTAGCAGATGTATCCGAGCTTCGTAACATATCCTTTAGGTTGACTTCAAAGGATGGCATGCCTGTGTACCACTCACCCATTTAGATCTGAAAAAACTCAATCAGCAAAGGTACTCATGCTACTCCTGAAATTAAATATCACTTTTGTTTAGCATTGGTTTCATATAGTAAAAATATTAAATGATTTAAAAACTAGAACTGTTTGTTTGATTGCCTATCGTTTTAAATTCGATGTCTGGGGGATTCCACTTAAGTTTCTTTACCAGATTTTATTAAAATAGGTTCAACCATTTCCTCATAACTTGTGACATGAAGACTGCAGACAGACTGGCAACCATGCTTTATATATATATTATTATTTATTATTGTAGCATTTATCCCATTTGAATATGGGGTCTGTGTTACGGGTCTCCTGCTTCCATTTGTTCCGATCCATCGTGGCATCTTTTTCTTCAACACTCTACATTTCCCTAAACTTTCTAATAGTGTCAAATCATCTGTTTTTTTGGTTGTTTGCTCTCAGTTTCCTTTGATCAGACTAGGCTACCAATGTACTCCTGTGGTCTTCGTGTGATATGTCCATACCATCAGAGGTGACTACCTTGTATCCTTTCTGTTATCATGGTCACACCTACACTTTCTCAGATATATGTGGTGCAAATTTAGTCCTTCCTGGTAATTCCACACATTTACCATAACATTCTCATCTCTGTCATATGTAGCATTTACACATTTCTTCTGCATTGGCCAACATTTACTCCCATACGTTATGTGTTATATATATTTATAAGAACAAAATAATATGGTTAACCCTTTCTCAACGGGTAGGTCTAACTGTGGATATCACGGTCTTTTAGCAAGTTATTTTCAAAACTTAATTAAACTACTTTTGGTTTATGTTATACCAATTAGTATAGCATAAAATCGTAGCTAATGATCAATATTTTAATAGCGTATAAGTTTTAAGTTCTTAATTTTATAAGGCAATATTTCAAAAATTCTGAATTTCCCCTAGTGTGAGAAATATGACACATTTTCTCTAGGCATCTCCTCTTCTCTATTTTATTTACCATCCCTCCAATAAGTACAAAATTTCAAGTAAATTCTTCACCATAAAATTGCCATTGCTCAGACAAACCATTATTTTTATAGCCTTCAATCTTGTTTGATTATTGAGCCATCAAATAGAAAATCAGACTCCTCTTGACACACCCACCTATCACATCCCCTCTTTCACGATTTGTTAATAGTTCTCTCTTATACTTAATATTATATTATGTATAACCAATAGGAAGGCAAGGTTTTCATCTTTCAAATGACATTGATATTATATTACGTTGTTTTCGGAACAGAGAATTATCAATTTCTCAGTGCATTACTACCATTTGTATAAAAAAAAAAGTAGGGTTAAGTGTCATCAACAGTAAACAGCAAAAAAAAAAGAAGACCCTTGGAAAGTACTTTATTTCTTGTTTTTCATATTCATTATTATAAAAGTAACTAAAATGTAAAATTAAGGATCACTTTAGGTAAAATTATAATAATAATGTAATAAAAATGTTTTACGAGGCAAGTGAGCAGCTTAGAGTAGCTTGTTGGTAATGTAATTCAATAGCATAACATGAGCTTCACATTCCCTAAGTGATTTACAATTATAATGGCATGAATGGTAGTAGTTAGTGTTTCAAAGAGCAATAAAATAATAAAATTCAAGTGTTAGTAGAAGTACACTGTTACGAGTTTAAAGCTATTTAGGATAAACGAATGTAATTTCTTGTTACAATTTGAACTCCTTCAAGAAAGAAAAAAATTATAATTTAGATTTTTTTTTGGTAGTTACGAGGTCGGTCAAATTTACCCATCCCGTTTTGAGATAGGGTAGAGAAAATAACAGAAACTCTAAAGTTTTACTGAAGAACAAAAACGTTTGAAATGCATTTATGAGGTTTCAGGGATTACACAAAAGAAATTTGAGATTTTTTTTTGAAGAATAGTTTTTTTGATCTTAACATGAAAATCACTACACATTCAGACTAGTAATGAAACAGACTCAATATATTCACAAACAAATCTTCAGTAAAAATCTGATATTTTTTGTACAAAAGACTTGGAATCATTACCAAATTTTGTGAAGATACACAAATTGCATTAAAAGTTATAGTATAAATACTTAACATGTGCAAATGTGTATATATACGAACTTGGTATTTTATACCGAGCCCATTGTGATAGGGTTAATATGGAACAGAATTTGTGTCATATAAGAAACTTTATTGGCATCTCTGATTTTTTTAACCATTTTTTAATTGTATAATATCTCTTGTATATATAAAGAAATTTACTCCGAGTGTCAATAAAATTACTATTGAATAATACTTTAGTTTCAAAAAATAGACATTTAAATTTTTGTTAATTGTATCCATAAAAGAATCTGTATTTGAATATTTTATAATTCATAAAATTAAGACATGTTTAAAGTTTGTCACTTATAACTAAAATAATGCAATGAAAGATGCTGTCCTGAATCTGTCAGTTATTACATTAATATAATATGGAATGGTATTTAAGTCACGTAAGAAAAGTTGTTAGTTTCTCTGGCTTTCTTACAACTTTTTAATTGTACAATATCACTTTTCATGCATAACTAAATTATTGATTTTCTGATCAACCAATAGAGACAAAGAAATGCCCCTCATTCATTGTTTGTAACGATATTTCTGTTTCAAGGGAGCCTCAAGAAATATTTCTTTCTCTAGGTTAGCCGAGTCTCGCACAGAGGAACCCGTTAAAGAGAAAGGGGAACTTGTATTGGCTCCCGAGTTGAAAAAGATGGTGGAAAAAGATGCAGCATTTTTCCAGTCTTTGATGAGCATGTATGTTTGGTTGTAAAATCAAGCTTTTTGTTTTTCAATTTTAAGTAATTTTTAAATATAAACTATATTCTCGGTTTTTGAGCTACTGATTTTTTTTTTTTCCTGAAATACCTAGTTTTTATTTAAAGTTACAAAGTAAAAAAAAAAAAAGTCCTTGAATCTGTTGAATGCCATATTATCACTAAATTATTAAAAATGATTATTTATGTATTTTTTTTATTTACGTTTTGTTTTTTTGGATTACAGCCAGAAACCGTCATTAGCTTTAGTACCATGGCAACCTCCCAAACCTATCAGTATTCCTACAGAATTACTGCAGAGTAATTCCCAGTACTTCAACAGTACTTCAACTACTGTTGCTATGGCAACGGATAATGCGGCAGAGATAAACAATAATACAACTACTACTGACGATGAAGAGAGGTAGGGATTTTATTACTTTTTCTGTTAAGTGGGATGAAAGTTAAAATTGGACAGATGTACATGTGTAACTCAAGTTAGTTCTTCCTTTATCATACTGTGTAATAAAAAAAAGAATGCTTATAGGTATTTTCCCAAGCAAGGCCCATTTCTAACGTGTAGCCAATATAATGAACATGACTTAATTCGACACCAAATTATAAGTCATTTTAATACCCTACGAGTCCTCATATGATAGAATATTAATCTTTTGTGTTGAATATAATTATTTAGAAACTTGTCAAAGAAGGAAACCAGGTCTTGGTTATGGCTAAAATTTTCCGATAGTTATCTTTGAAAGAGCAATAATTAAAAATTACAATTGTTAGCGATTGTAATGTGCCGTGTTAAGTATGATTGATGTATGCTTTCTGATACTTTGGCCCAACAGTGTATCAAAAACTAAACAAGTATGGAATATTGAAGGCATATTTTATTTAATATATATTACACAGGGCTGTTCATACACAGATTGTGAAACATCCTTGTGAGGTATTAATTGAAGTTTTTAGATCGATAGTCAGCCATCTCTAGCTTGGTGTGAAGTCAGAGGGATAACATGTTATTTATCATTGAAGTTTTCAGATCGATAGTCAGCTTATGTTTCATGTCAGCCATCTCTAGCTTGGTGTGAAGTCAGAGGAATAACATGTTATTTTTCATTTCTTGACAGTAACACTTCGCTGCCGAATGAAACAGTACCTAAACCAGTAATTAACGAAGAGTTTGACTCCATGGAACTTTGACAAGGTTTCTCCGTAAAAGAAAAATTCTTCAAGACTCGCTAAACAGAAGTTTTTTTTCACCAATTGGACCATTAAAGTTGGAAAGCATTAATTTTTACCCTTCCATTTCATGATTAAATGATGACTTGTAAATATTTTATAGGCATGAGTGGAGTGTCTGCTTAACACTAACATTTAAAGCTATACTAAAAACAAATCATTAAAGATGTGTTTCACTTCAAATTTGTTGGAACAGTTGCAGTATTTATTTCACCTGAAATAATTGAATTCTAATACAGCATGCATTTTGTTTCATCGTTTTTGAGTATGTTTCTAATATCATTTGTTAACCATATAGAAATACGATCAGTTTAAGTGGGGGAATGGAAAGTGGTGAGAAGTGATAGTAAACAAGTTTGTAATACGAGGGTCGAAAACAAATTGTAGAGTTATGTGATTCACTTCAAACATCCTTGGATGGTGAGCACCATCTCTTAAGATATAATTAAGATTGCTTTCCTGCTGTGTTTGAAACTGTTAAATCAGATCCTCATTGGTGACAGAGTACATTCCCATCAGATTTCATATATATATTTATATTAAAAATATTCCTTTAAAACTTGCATTCTGAAATACATGGAAGTTACAAAACCTAAATCAGTCTTCGTTCATCCTGTAGTAGTATAGTATATTGACCATTGCTAACAACTGGTTAATATTATCATTAGAATTAAATATTACTAGTAGTAGTACGTGTGAGAAGACAAAATCTATCTCATTGAAACTGATGTTATTTCAATATTTTTTTTTGCCAGTTTTGTTATGAGAAACAAAGAAAAAAAAATGTTGTATTCTAAATTTTGAATCATTGTGTAATATGAACATTTGACATTTCTTTGTAACAGGTGTGTTTAAAAAAATACCTATTACAATTCATGCTATTTATGTGTTATGCTAGATGTTGTACTTTGAGTTCAGTTTGCCATTATGCATATTTGTTTTTTTGATAAATTGCATGTTTTTAGAATCTTATATTTATGTAGTAAGTGAGATATTTTAAGTTACACAATTTTTTTTAAAAACAATCATTATCAAAGTGTTTTTACTGATGTGATGGGTCATTAGTTACACTGTAATTTGGAGGAAGAGGTCAGTGTTAATAAAAATGAGTTTCCTTTAAAATAACCGTCCTTTTAAGAACTACACAAAACATTTCAAGAAGTAGTTTTAACAAGTGTAAACAAAAAAGGTAATTTCACACACCAAAACTGATCTCCACCGTACGCTGTATAATTAATCTGACGGCCTGAGTTTTGAGTGCTAATAATAGCTTGGCCTCATAAGATTAGTTTACGCAACGAGTCCATATTGAAGCCTCGGCCATGGGCAAATGTCTTAATTTTGTGTTCCATTCAAAATTGAAGATGTAATAGGAATTATGAGAAAATTGTGTAGGTTAACAAGTCTCTCACGTTATCGATATTATGTTTAACTGTTTTTATGAAATGTAAAAGTTTATACTGTGTGACATCCGGTTTTTTGCGCCTTTAATAATAATAATAGCAATGAACTAAAGTAAAAAAAAACAACATATAGACTTTTTATTTTGGGTTGTGTTAGGAAGGATTTGCAACCAAGAATCTTGGATATTATGAAGCCCCACAGTGGTATGTCTGTAGACTTACAACACTAGAAAACAGCTAGCCCTTTGTGCTTAACTACAAACAAACGAGGATATTATAAAATTAATGAAAGAGTATGAAATGTGCAAGTGTAGAATACTAATCAGTAGGCCTAATAGTTGTATCCAAATCACAACAGACCATGTAATCAACTCTTGTGAGCAGATTTTACATACAATATAAAACCTAAATTTTGTAACTTTAACAGTTATTATATTCTGTTTTATAATGATAACCTTTATTATCCTGGGAATAAATGTCCAACAGACGAGTCCAACACTGCCCTCTCTTTCCAGTAAGGATTTTTATTTGAATGTACTGACAGTTTGATGTAAAATGCAATGCTAATCTCAAGAAAAGGAATTCATGTACAACCAAAGCTTTGTGAAGAAAAGCTGAATAATTTGTTTTTAAAATACATCTATTTTTGTCTTCCTTTGAAGAACAACAAGATAGATATTTCAGGTTCTTTACATAAGTTTTAAGCATTTATTTACTATTGTAGTTTATTTAGCGGGTGGTGTGTGTTTGTTATGAATGTTTGAATGGTATTCTAAAATACAATCATACATATATAGTCTGGTGGAAGCTTGAATAAACTTAATTTTTAACAAAGGCTCAAGGTTTGATATTTGTTTACCAAGAAAGAAATCTGAATTGAACTCGCACTTGAACGTGAGGTTTAAAATATATTTTAAGCCCGATAGTAGCGATGCAATATCATTCAGGAAAAGGTCATAATTTAATGTTAACAAAAAAAATAATACTAAAACACAGGTTCAGGAAGAGTTATTAATTGTACAAATAAGTATATATATAGTAACAGCTCTTAATTATCAAAATTTTGAACCCAAATTTTTAAATTCCACACTGAACTTCCTGGTAGTATGCTAGCAAATATCATTTGAACGGGTACCAAAAATCTACCAGGATGGGTAATTCAGGTGGGTGCCCGAAAATTTCCAACCACTATCAACACAACAGTTTCTAACATGATGCCACACAGTTTAAGTTTACTTCGTGTGCGATGTTTTTATTTTTCTAGCAAAAGCATATCTAAAAGTTGTGAATGTTTGGATGGAAAAGTAAAAGAAAACAGTATATGATATAATTATAAATGAAAGATGAAAACAATGTTAACCCTGAAACTTTTTGCAACCATTATGTACACTATAACATAGGCCTGTAAAGTATTCTACATGAGGTACTGAAACAAATTCAAACAAACATCTCTCCATTTTTTAAGTTTTCACCAATTAATAATGAGCACCTATTTAGTGGTCATGAAATTAATATCATAGTTTCCAAGATTAGATACTATTAACTTACTGATATTGGTAATCTTTTAACGGTTGACCCTGGCTGACTGTCATTACACAATACATGCACTGTGCAGGCAATATTCGTACATGACGATGACACTTGGGTTGTATGTACAGATGTTATGGCGTCTACAGCCACATTCCATTATAACACAATCGGAGATTACGAGACCAGCTGAGTGCATCTGTACGATCAGAAAAGTTAGCACAATCGATGGGTAGAGCTTACCTCAAATATTTTAACGACAAAACTTTGATAATTCCCCATTAAGATTGTTGTGCGAGCTTCTCAATTAAATGTAGTGAAGTAAAACAATGAATCTATGGCAACGATCACATACCAATACCTCAAATTATGACAAGCTACAGTTGAAACTACTTATACAAAAAAGTAGAAACTTTTGGAAGTTCATATTTATATTGATACAATAATTTACACTATTTACTGTTACAAATCACACAGTTATCAGGTTTGAAAGTTTCCTGTAAGAGATAGGCCTCATTTCTGTCCTAGAATGTTGATTGTGCTAACCACGAACCAACTGCACATAGTGAATCAGCCAATAATCATTTAACAAATAAACATTTTAAAGGGACTATTCAAAATTTTCTGCTTCGTTGATTCTTTGTCTCCTACATTCATTACTGTCAATGGAAGAGGTAAAAGTTATTATGGTATAAGCAAATTTTGAGAGTATAATGAACAGTTGAATAACTTGAATTATAAGGTACTCAAGGATTTTTTGTACATTATTAAACTAAAAATCAATTACTTGCTAATCAATGTTTCTGGCCCGTCACTAGAATTTAATCTGAGTCTCTGTCACTATGACTGCTTCCACTTTCGTCTTCACTCTCTGTGTTGCGACTTTTTTTGCCTACTGTTTTCTCTTAAAAATAATAGTTTGTTTGCATCTCTGTTTACATTACTTTGACTTAAACTTTGTATAACTTTTTTTTTTTTAAAGAATCGGGTAACAGTCGTGATATAGATGTCTTTTTTTCTCAAAAACACATAGGGTCAAGAACTCAACCCAAAAACTGCTGGCTATTTGGGGAGTGAATACATACAAACTAAGCAGCAAATATATATAGTGTCTGTTTGATTTTCTGGTAATATTGTTTATCTTGCTTCTGTTTTGGACCCCAAATACTTAGCCCTATTTTCCATACTATGTAATTACTATAGAAAATGTAAATAAGTATTTTGAGAATATTTTGCACCAATGATATTATAAATCCATTTGCACATGTCGCACATCATTGCCAGTGACTTGAAATTACAGTAATGTCGGAGTCTATTTATCCAAAGAGCTATGAAACTTACATTTATATGTACACATTTATTTATTCACAGTAGTTTTATCTCCCAGTCTTTCATAACAGACAATACAACTCCTTGTAATTATCCAAAACTAAATATAATGTTACTAGACTTTAAACGTTTAATTACAAATCTTACCAGTTATTATAATATAAGTGTGAGAAATACTTTTATTTCCAAGAAGAATCAGTAAACAGATCTGAAGTGAGCCTGTCACTGCTCTAAACAACATTGTGTCACAGGAGCTCTAAGAAATTAATTTAATGCTTTGGGCTGGAATATCATTAATATAACTCGGAAACGTGCGACGTTTCTTAAAAATCAAAGCTGTCAAATTATAAGGAATGGATTATTTTTGTGATGTTCTTTAGTTTTACATTCTCAAATACTATAGGTACATATCAACGAGCACTTCTAAGTTTAAATATTACCACAAGGATGAACGGGATCTCAAGTACCGGTCTTGTATAGGTACTTCAATCATCTATCTTGTATTAACACCCTCTTATATTATTTTTCGAGAAACGTTTTATTCATTACAGTTTCTTTAATAGTGCTCATATACATACGTTACTTAATCAAATTTGTTTTTTAATGTAAGTCAACTTTTTTCAGGTTCATTTCTAGAAATTCCTAATAGTTCTGATATACTACTTTCAGCATCTTACAATGTGGGTGGTTTGAGACGTTCCCTAAGTGATTGTAAGAAAGTTCCTCCATTAATAATTTTGGTTGTGGCAACAATATATTCAACTGCAGCTGAAAGAAAGAAAAAAAAGTTAAACGTTTTTTTTTTTGACAAAGTGTAAAGTTGCAATAAGATCTTTATGTTTTATACCAAATTTTAAAATTTTCATACTTTACATTCTCTCAAGAGAAAAACAAAAATGGAAACCTATTGTGAATTAAAAAAAAAAAAGATCAGGGAAAAAGGAAGAAAAAGAAAAATTACAACTGATATACGCACCATCATCCTGTTGAGAGAGGAACCTCAAAGCTGATATCTCTGACAGAGTACAGCCTCCAAGAAAAAACACTAAAGTAACTTTTGGATCTTCCATGTTGGACTGGATGGATGAGCCAGATCCTCCTAACAGATGTAGACAGAATACTTGATTGGTCAGTTACTCCTAAAAGTTAGGCTAGGTGCGGCAAATAGATTTACCCATCAGTTGGTTAGCCACTTATTAAAACAAAAGCACTAATAGATGTAAAAAGGACATTTGTTTAGCCAATAACTTTTAGATTCCTAAAAAAAGAACATTTGATTATCCAAATGTACATAAACACCTGAAACTCTAAATGAACAAAAGTGCATAACAAGTACATGATTAGCTTCATATTCTAGATCGGGTTCATAGCCAAGAACCCTTAGTTGATTTGCATTGTGTACTGAGGATTAATTTCACTTTTTTAAGAATGATGTCCCATGCTGGTACTTCCTCCAGCATGAAACAGCTACCACGAATATGCCTGATGCCACAATTTTTATGTTACAAACTTTGTAAAACCTCCACACGAGTTCATTAGAAGTGCATCTTTTTTTTCAGCCTCATTTTCATGAAGAACATAAACTGATTTTGAGGTGCGAATGAAATTTTGTGAATTTTTTCAGCTTTAAATCCTTGTTTATAGCTCCAGGAGATATGTTTAGCTTCATTACAATGGCTTTTTTGGATCAAAGAGGTTCTCATTCAAAACCATACCCTTAACTTTATGGATAAAAGGGGTTGTTTTGGACTGGCTTAGGAGACAATCAGGGCCGGATTAAGGCCAACTGATGCCCTAAGCACAGCCCAACAATGGTTCCCCCCTCGACCCTTCCATTGTTTAACCGACAGGACATTAACACTCAATAAGTGCTGAATGTGAAATAATAGGTTAAAAATTCAGTTTTCTTCCAGGCCAGACCCCACAACTATATTAAATATAACCTGTTTTTTAATTTTATTTATTTAACACTAAATAGCAGTAAATAATATAAGCAAATTATTTACTTATAGCTAGGGCAATAGGAAAAAATGCTAATTTTCAACACTTTTTTATTCCTTTTTTAAAAAACTTGTAAGGGAAAAATACAAAAATTTATTGAAAATGATTCTTTCTTCAGAAATCGATGTTGGTGGTCAATTTTTTGTGGGGGTCCCCTTTTGTGGGACCCTAGTTCACCTGCACCATGGTAAATCTGGCACCGGAAAAAACTTTGTGGTGCCCTAAGCACGTGCTTATTTTGTTTAATGGTTAATCCAAGCCTGGAATCAAAAGGCTTCTTTCTTTGAAATGCGTACTTATGCCCAACCTCATTTAATATTATCATTAGATGAATATCCTTCCTTAGAAGGGGGCTGTGGCATAATACGTTCATCATAAGTCTATCTTTGTGGTATTGCACTATTGGGAATTTGCTTTGATTGAAATACACAGGTGTTAAGCTTGTCACCTATGGCATCATGGCTCACGTTTATGGTAATATAACAATGAATTAAGATATGCAAAACATTCTTAAAATGTGACTCTCTAAAAATATGTACAGATACAATGAAGAGTTGTCAAACCAAATACATTTTCAATCACAAGCTTGATCTGAAAGGCAATAAATAAAGAAATATAAATGGTATCCTAATACTCCTAAAATGCATGTGTCCAATAATTATTTGACTAATGAAAGTTATCCATTTAACTATGTATTAGGAAAGTTTTTTTTTTCCAATGAACTATAAACTACATGTAGTAACACACACAAGCCATTCCTTCCAGAAAGATTCTTACGTTTTGATTAAGGCGAAACTTTAATTTCTACACTGAATTTTCAATAGACTCGTACTACAACTTAGAGAAACAGCCTTTTTACTATAAAAATAGCAGTTTGCTGAAAAACAGTATATTACTTTTGACCAAGATTGAGGTTTTTTATAGAATGCTTACTTCTTTTTCTTAGTCCAACTGGAATCTGTTGAATTTCTTCTACAGTTGGCCCTGGCAACTGGCTTAAAACATCCGTGATTGCTCTCCATCCTGGTTGAGCCAGAAACTGGATTAAGCGTACACTGAGAGGTGCATAACCACTATGGACATAAGCAATATCGGTAGGATTCTACAGCAGAAAAGGAATGGAACATTTGACTGCAAAACTAGGTTTCCAATAAGACAATTATCTATATAAGCATCCTTAGAATTTAAAGTCTACCATGAAAGACCCAATCCTTTCTAAAACTACTGTTTATCAGCTGCTCTTGGGAATATTTGTCATCATGAGATATCCATCTCTCTCTCTTCACTTGTCTAATGACAGGTCCATTTGTGAATAAAGTGGACAGTTACATATTTATATGTTAAAGTACAAAGTAAGAAATTGTACCAAATGACAATACAGAGAAGCAGAAGGAGTATAAAATTCCAAAGGCATACATACTCTCCGTTTTGTGTCCTGTCCATAAGAATACAACTCAAGGGCTATATTCAACTGGAAAATAAAAGATGTAACACCACTGTGGACAAACATGGTCCTGTCCATATGAATGCAACTCAGACTATATTCAGCCGGAAAATAAAAGATGTAACACTACTGTGGACAAACATGGTCCTGTCCATAAGAATGCAACTCAAAGACTATATTCAACTGGAAAATAAAAGATGTAACACTACTGTGGACAAACATGGTCCTGTCCATAAGAATGCAACTCAAAGACTATATTCAACTGGAAAATAAAAGATGTAACACTACTGTGGACAAACATGGTCCTGTCCATAAGAATGCAACTCAAGGGCTATAATCAACCGGAAAATAAAAGATGTAACACTACTGTGGACAAACATGGTCCTGTCCATAAGAATGCAACTCAAAGACTATATTCAACTGGAAAATAAAAGATGTAACACTACTGTGGACAAACATGGTCCTGTCCATAATTACAGTACATAATTTACTGTAATTACAAAAAAAAAAGTGAATGAGGAAGTGATTATACAAAGTAAACAGAACTACAGCATCATAACTCGAAGTCAGTTGAGAAGTACCCTAAGGACATCATAACATCAACACTATTAAAAGCAATACAAACCCCTGTTAGTATGCAGCATTTTTGACATCATTGTTTGCAGCCCAAAATGAAGAGGATCTTCATATTTAATAACCCTTTCCAGACTGGAAGGGATTTTTTTTTTCCTTCTTACATTGGAAATACTTAAGTAAACTGCATGAAACTTACTACAAAGTTTCTAAGAGTTAGTTTCAGCTTTAATTATGTAAAATTTCCAAGCTTTTATTGGGAAACACTATCTGACAAAATATTAAAAATTCTTCCTTTTTTCTTACATTTTTTTTTTGTTATTAAGTAAGTGGTATTTTATACATCCAATCAGTTTCAACTTATGATTCTGGTGATGCTTTATTTTGCTGATTGAAGCAGTCACCGCTTCTGACTAAATCATAGAAGACATGGTAAAAACTGAAAGATTTATCAGTACCCTACGACCTCATCTTTCGAAATGGTAACATCACTATCTTTATCACACATGTATCGTGATTTTTGCCCTCAATATCCTTGGTTGAAATGAACTCGTAACTAATAAGTATAGTTAATACCAAGTTATTTTGTTTGTGTGTGTTGTTTGAATGTGATAAACTTAATCTTACTCACTAAAAAAGGATTCGTTCACATGAAAAGTTTGTTGTTGCTCATTAAGCTTAATTAATCTTATCTGATGTCACAGAAGAATATTCTGATAGCTTTCAAATACATATAATTTGACACAGAATTATCAGGTATGAAAAAGAGTGTCAGATGAAACTATAAAAAAAATCCCAGAACTGTGGTTTGTTCGTAAGTGTTGTAAATTTCACATCAGAATCCTTTGTTCACCCCTACAGGAGTTCAAGATAGCGAATATGTTAACACACCACTAATTATTGACACGTACACCTTATTTAATATATATTAGCACAGTTGAATTAGAGTCTTTTCTACCCAATCATTTCCATCCATGGCTCTAGCTATTAGTAATATTCAAATCACATGTTGTGACATCATAAAATGGTGGTACGAAGGGTTGTGGTAATAAACCCACTGACACGGAAAGAAAGTGAGTTGAGAAACAATACACGAATCATTATATTTTCCAGGGATGATAGTTTCTTTGCAAATATAAACCTATACTTTGAGATGGGAAGAAAAGTAACAACAAAGGATAAATGCATTGTTTACAGGTGAAAGTCCGATGAAGTGCATAGAAATTAAAGTTAGAATAGTTTGTCATTTTGAGATACACAAAATAAATGTTTTATAATACTAAAATATCACTTCTAAAACAGTTTTGAGTAGAATTAGAAATCCATTTTTTACTTAAAAATTTGATATGCAGGCGTGCACTCAACAACTTAAAGGTCATAATAAGGTTGTGGAAATCACTATAAACAGGCTTAGGCTTAACTTCAATTGAGAAGCTTTTACTGACTTTGTAATGGTTTCTGCTCCTGTTTGATTTCTTTATCTTATAAGTCCAAACATGCCAGGAAAGCTGTATATATATTTTTGTGATGGCATGACAAAGTTCAATTGACACTAATTATTTGTTCTTTGTCTTCCTATAATGATCTTAATTATCAATAAAACAACAAAAAATTATCGTGAAAAGAACAATATTTTACAAAAAGTTCCTAACATACCTGTTCATTCACATCATCTACCATTAACCTTAATGTTTTTCTGATGGATGAATAAGATTTAGTCCCTTGTATTCGTAGCAAACCAGCTTTTTCCAAGTTGTTAATTGTAAGAATATGCTGGTATCCATACGTCTGCAAAATAAAAATGCAAGTTTATCAATCAACATTTAACATAGAGAAAAAAAAGTTGCCAATAAGGTTATCAAGACATCACAAAAACTTTTCTGTTGTAAGCCTACTTTTATAATTAAATATAAACAGTTTTACTCTTTTCATGCTCAAAAGAAATCCTAGATTGGTTCATCAACTTTACCATAGCTTAAATCTTAGCAGTTAGGGGGTTTTAGTAGGCCTAACATATCAGTAAATGTAGCTTTGCTGTTCAATGGATTATATACTTTCAGCTTGAAAAAAATATATATTTTAGAAGATTTCACTGCCTGTCAAACACAATTTTTAAATAGGAAATGTGCTCTTTGAGAAAACAGCACATGTAAGAAAAGTACAGACTTATCTTAGCAGTTAGAGGTTTTAGTAGGCCTAACATATCAGTAACTGCAGCTTTGCTGTTCAATGGATTATATACTTTCAGCTTGAAAAAAAGATATATTTTAGAAGATTTCACTGCCTATCAAACATAATTTTTAAATATGAAATGTGCTCTCTGAGAAAATATCACATGTAAGAAAAGTACAGACTTATCTCTCAACATAACTGAACAATCACTTATTTAAATAATTACTACAATCTTCCTTAAATAAAAATTAATGAAACCAAAGTAATTGATAAGAAATGCTAATTTAGAGAAAATCGGTAAATCATTGACATTCCCAAATAATTCATGAAACTAAAATTTTTCCATAAAAAAAAAAGTCCACCATAGTTTGAGAAAAATAATATACAACCGAGAAACAAGTTGTTTTCAATCTCCTCAGTCAGCAATTATCTACAAGTGATACGACTTTGTCATTTCCAAGCAAGTTTCCAAAAAAGAAATAAAAATAGGACTAGAGGACCTAACTAGAAAGATTTCCATTCAAGTACATTTCAAATGTAATCTGACACCTGAAAAACAAAACATGCGACACCAATTATTGTCGATTTTCCATCATAAATTACTAGGAGTGCTTTTCCCTCACCTTCCAAACAATCATCTTACCTTAAAACTATTCCAGAGTTTTCTATGAAAGTCACATTGATCGTTGCGTGTGTTAATACCCAATTTAAAAGAAGAATTAAAAGCCTTACTATTGTTGTCATGGCTAGCTGTAAATAACTCAATATCATGAACATTTGATTCAGCTCACTTTGTGAAATTAGATAATGATTTAACGATCACAAACTAAAATCCTTTTCACTACACTTGAATAAATTTGACAAACATTAAAATGATCTATTAAATTCTTTATAAATTTAAAAACCTCGTACACCACAAATACATGGCCTACCAAGAATCCATAAACCCAATGTTCCTTTATATCCTATAGTTACTGCTTATAACTATAATCTCCGAAAATTCCTGGCTTGGATATTTCCCCTTTATATAACTAAAGCTGCTTCTTTTGTCACAAACTCCGAATCTTTTGCCACAAAACTAAAGATTCTGACACAGAACCACGTATGGTCGGCCTTCACATAAATAATATATGCACACAAGAACCTATCAAAGAAACAATTCACTCTACTTTAGAACGTTTTCAAAATGACTGCAGCCCCATTTCTTTGTTAGATGTTTCCATCAACGCTTTTTCGCTTCTTATAAAAATTCTCTATTTCACAATGTTCATTATAACCAGATCAATGATCTAAACAAAAGAAATCCTGTTTCATCTGCTTTAGATAATTTATTTATGATCAGTTTGTTTGTTATGAATTTTGCGCAAAGCTACACAAGGGCTATCTGCACTAGCCGTCCCTAATTTAGCAGTGTAAAACTAGTCATAACCACTCACCGCCAACTCTTGGGCTACTCTTTTACCAACGATTAGTGGGATTGACCGTCTCCATTATAATGCCCCCACAGCTGAAAGGGCGAACATGTTTAATGTGATGAGAATTCGAACCCGCGACCCACAGATTGCGAGTTGAGCACCATAACCACCTGGCAATGCCGGGCCATCGTGATCAGAATCGAAGAAATTATCATTTTACTTCATTCCATCCTCCAGTTTTCTGGATCTGTTATGTGGATGAAAGTTTTATGGAAATTTATTATATTGATAGTATTTTTCATATATGAATGTAATCCAACATCACGTTCACGGTAGAAAG